TTCGTCAGAAAAGTAAATCTCTTTCCCCTCAAAGGGACTCAAACCATTTCATAACTACCAGCTGGGCCTCCCAGCATCGCCATGGTAGAGTAAGACCATTAGTCCCATGGTACTAGTGAAGAAATTGGAAAACCTCATTAATTAAGCCAACTGAAAACTGCAAACAGGGACCAAAACCGAGGCTTCCATCTCCTGTTTATCCTCACACTCCGGTCTTCTAACCGCCAGGGAGAAGTGCTGTACTGCCAGTTCATCCTGACACGAAGTACAGGAGAGCGAGATAAATTAGAGGATTCAATTACTTGCTCTCGGAACACGTTCAGTTTGGCGACCGGTTAACAGCCAGAATGAACTAACCTCAATAATCCAGAGAATCAAATGTATTAGATTACAGTTGTGATATAATTAAGAATAATTGAAAGTATTTAATGCTTTTAGCTTGTCTTTTATTACTCCACAACAGGCCATCGCACCAGCTGATACAAGCGCACTGAGAAGTGGCCACAATCTGAAATTTCCAACACAAATCCTTCAATTTAATAGATGATGATCAAGGAAGCATCTGGGTTTTCATTTTTAGCTTTGAAAACAAATTGCTATTCCTCAGAAGCTCAATTCTTTCCAGCTGACTGAAGCCCAGAACATATTATTTCTTTCCGCCGGTCAGATTATACCTTTTCATTAATGTTGCAGTAACGGTCACAATAGAACCGGTATCCAACAGACAGCACTTCCATCACATTGTCTGACTCGGAAGTAACGAAGTGAAGGTGCTACAGAGGAACATTCTTGCAAGGAAATAACCTGGCTTTGACCACAACCTTTGCAGAAAGGCTGTATCAGTTTGGATATCGTAGTTATCCTGCAGCAGCTATTACCTTAGTACTGCTTCAGGGATTTTTCTTTTGTTGAGAACACCTCCATATGCCACAACGTGAACCCGGCTCACATTACGCCTTGGAGTATTTCCTTACACTCCTGGCAGTTTGGCATATTCCCTTTCAGAACAGCCTTGCACTCCCACTGCCCCTTTAAACCAGCATCCCAGGCCACTTGATACTGGTCCTCCCAGGAGCCCTGTTAAATGGGTGTTGTGCCCACTCTGCAGATGAACAGAGGCACTGATTTTCAGGTGTTAACTACCGAAACCAGCAGTACTTTCCTCCTGCCATTATCCTCTTCCGTACCTGAATAAAAATATGCTAATTTAGGTGCCCAAAGCAATTTTGGTTACATCTTTTTAAGCAATTGGTAGTGTCCATTGCACAACAAAGGGTTTGATGGATGGACAATGCAGCAAACACTAAAGGCAAGGTCTTACCACCCACAAGAACTCGCTGTTGTATCCAATTATGACCGACTCCATTCTTTTTCATTTAAAAACCATGAGAGGAGTATGAACTAATTTGTACGGCACTCACTTTAGAACACATCATTTGAAAGTTGTGGGTAATAATCTATTTTGTCCAGGCTCTTGAGAGATCTAATCAAAAACCCACCTCCCAACTGGTGTGCCCAGACCTCTTTGCCCAGATTTCCTTTATCCATCAGATGCACTTCTAGTAGTCCACTGGGCTACCAGCATAAACACGAGAACGATTACCGATCAAGCCAGGCCAAAGAGCTAAGTGAACTCCAAATACTTTGATCCAAGTTGTTTATATCCCTGTACTTCCCACCGCTTCTGAGGCGTCACCCCTAGCAGTAGCTCTCTTAGCGCAACGGTTGCCGCTGTAAAACCACTTCGGTGCCAGCAAACAGGAATCGACGGGTAAGTTCTCTAAGCTAGAGGAGCAGTACCGACAAGCAACAGGTTCTGTCTCAGGGAGAGCATTTGCAAGACCATGCAGGAAGAGCTCTACAAAAACAGCTTTAAAACACACCCCCGGTAAGTAGTTCTGCACTGCCGTGTACACAAACGCGTGCCGTATCAACGCGCCAGCCCACTCCACCGTCTGCTAGACCAGCGGAAATTCAATGCTTGAGGCACTTGAGGAGCTAACCCACTTAAGTTCTTTGAGACAGTTTCTTGATTTTTACCTAATCAAGGAAGTTTCTCCCAGAAAAGACCATATTATCAGTTTTTAATTGCAGTCACCACCCTAAATAAACAGTTTAGCACTGTTGAAAGGATTATTTCAGAAATTTGAGGAGCAAACTCAGGCGAATAGCAAAAAGATGTGAGAAATGGGGAAATTCAGGTATACCCTGCACATTTAAGCTCATGACAGAGCACCACTCTAATTCAGGCAATTAAGACATTGTTTTTGAAAGCATGCTGTTCAGTACCTGTCACTTGACTTACATTGCCTCAGGGAAGAAAAAATCATAGGCAAGATAAAACAGGGAGTTTTGAGCTTCACAGTCTTAAGTTGGGCTGAAAAAAAAAAAAGACCTCTATTTAAGGAGACCTCACCCTTTCTTCAGAAACTAAAGCACGTCCAAACATCTTTTTTGGCCACGCAAGATAAAGACAGCTTTCTCCTGGGAAAAGTCTTGGCATGACATCAAGTTGAAAGAATTTTCTACGCTGTTATCAGAAGCCCAGCCAGGTTAAAAGCCAGAGATTCTAAAGCCAAGGAGCAGTGTATTCCATGTCTAACCTATGAAAGGCATCGAACTAAATTCCCCCTTCCCTCCACCCTTCCCTGGAAGTTTTTTATTCAGGCTTTTGCGAGTTTGGATATGAAAACATTTGTTCACAAGAGCGAATTCCAACCTTGCAATATACCACAGAAGCCTACAAGATACATACCAGAAGAAGAACTAATCTGCTTAGCAGCAGAATTTCCCAGAATTCAATCAGTGGCATAGAACAGATTGCATTCTTCAGCCACACAGTCAAAAGCAACTACAAAAACAGACACTGTTTCTCTATCTCCATCAGATGCAACTAATGTAGTATCAGGTATGTTAAAAATCACATGACAGGAGTCAAACAGATCATTGTCCATCAGCTAAACGCACAGAGCCATCATTTTGCCACAGTTGAAGAATTTCCAGGTCCAGCAGGCACAGGCCTAGCAGACAATAATCACTTCTTCAATGAACTGTTATAAAAACCACCACCAAACATGAGCCCTGCTAACAAGTTAATACCTAGAAGACCATTAACTTCCTGCAAACGCTACAGGATACTACAACAATCCTAGGACATCAGACAACGCTTTGGGGTTGCTGAGTGGACAAGTACATACGCTTACATAAAATCCATGGATTTCACCACAACCTCTGGACTCCCCCATGAGAAAACCCACAAACAGCCCTGCAGAAAAGACTCAGGAAACCCATCACTGTCACTAGCTCCCTGCGTCACTTCAAGCCTCTTCCCCTTTCAGGCAGGAACACGGCAAGGGTAAAGCGGAGCGTGGCATCTCCACCACCACAGCTACGTATGCCCCAAACCACAACTCAATTGTTTATTTTGGCTTTACATTTCCAAGTGTCTCCTGTTCGATACCATGGTAAACTGAACAATCAATGAAGTCATTCGCTCTTTTTAACGTTTACATCAAAAAGCATTCAAATACAGGGTTTTAAATAAGTTACTGTAACAATATTGATGTTTCTATTAAAGACTGACAAGAGCCCAACCCAAAGGCACTAGTGAACAGTCCAGTTTGCCTCATCATTTTTGGCTTGAGCAGAACATACCCCCAAAAAACCCCAAAATAAGACAAAACCAACTTCTATTTCCAGCTGAACTACAGACTGACTGTGAGGTCTCAAGGAAGTCTTTCATTTCCAACAGTCTTCTGACTGTAAAAGGGAGGATTATGCTTACTTACCACACAGAAAGTCGAGAATTGAAAGGCATAAAGCGCTGTAGAGAAAGAAATACAAGTGCTGAGTACAATTACTCCACAGAAAAATAAAGCAAGCTGGTTATTTTAAACAAGAAGTTTATTTAAACAACAAGACGCTTTACTTGAAGGGAAAACTATCTAGGATTTTTTTTTTTTTTTAAAGAGTAATTACCCCTACTTAGACAGAGATTGCTCTACATGTAACAGCTACGTACAAAAAAGTTATAAAATTGTCCTTGGTTTTACAATGATAAAAGAAAAACATTGAAATTATCCAATCAAACAAGGTATGCAAGGTTTTTCTTTTTAAACAGTGAGAGCAAAATAACTTACTGGAATATAAAGATAAAAGTAGAAGGAGCATGCCACTAACGGAGGAAGGGGCATTTTCACAGAACCAGTTTGTTTTCCCACCCCATCTCCATTAAATGTTGATCAAAACATACCATTGGCCATTTAGTTACAAAAAATATGCATTATGTCTGTGCACATACACCAGTTACTTTATGTACAATAGAAGGAATAGGAAAAAAAAAAATCAGAGAGAGAAGAGAGAAAACTATACTGCAGTAGTCAGGATGTGGCTGAACCAAGTCTCGTTTTTCTAATTGTGAATGTGTCATCTGTGGGAGCACAGTTCTGGAGAGGAAAGTAGCAGGTTCTTTTTTTTTTGTATGTGTTTTTGTTTTGTGGGTTGTTTTTGTTTATTTTTAGTAAACTCCTCCTGTTTGCTGCTGGAACACATCAATTGTATCTTCGTCCTCCATTTCCAACTACAGCAGAAAAGAGAAAAAAGGCTTTCAACTCTTCTCAGCTTATTGACTGGGTTGTTCTTATATTTCCTATCTTCACGTTTACTTTTTGCACAGCTTCACCAGACCAGCCCCGCTCCCCTCCACCATCATCACTTTGTACATTTAACCTACTTCACCGTACCTCAAAAGCAAAAGAAATTACATGGAAAATAAAATGCCCGTTGACAACAGTTGTCCTAGACTCAATTCTAGTATGTAACTTCAGGGTGCACTGTAGAACTCCTACGGAAAACATGGGCATTGAGAATATTTAATTCCGTTGCCTACTTTGCCATTGCATCTTCTTTCTCCTAGTTACTTCCTCAGTTTACCTTAGAACGTTGCCACAATTCCACTTTGCTGCTGTTGTTCAAATGTGCAAATGGCTTCAGCTACAGCACTAAAGAAAGCAGACCATAATGAAGGCCCCTAGCCCAACCGGGCGGTAAACCCAAGCATCAGCAAGCACAAAAAAATTAAGGACACTTTACATGGGCAAGGAAGTAACAACCTGCCAGTGAGGAACAGCAATACTTTATTCCTATCATTATCTTTTTTCACTGTAATTTTTACAGTGGATGTTCCTGGGACATTAATGCTGCCTACTGACAAAAACTGTACCAGGATTGAAAGAGTTGCTGTAACTAATAAAAGTCGTATTTCTAAAGAGTCTCAGTTTCTGATCCAGGAAATCAAACTGGTCTATGGCATTTACTGCAGCTATAAATAGACTGATCCTTAGCTTCAGCATGACACGGATGGAGAGAAACGCACCCCGTTGCCTCAATTATCAGTATTCCAAGTTAAAAAGTTGCACAGATTGTAGCCATAAGAGGCACATTCTTTGGAGCAACTGCTCAGAAAATACAGATCTGCTATAAACCTTTTAAAAACAAGAGTCCCTTATTTCATAACAGGTAGTTCTGAAAAGCATATAGAACTGTATCACTTGGAAAGGCTGATTAAACACAGCTACCCCGAGCAGTACAGAACACTTGAGAGTCACAGTTGTGTTCTTGGAATGGCCTTCCTTTTAACCAGTTACAAACCTCACAGTACTCGTTAACTTCATGCTGCTGAAACAGAGCCTCAAATCACAAATAACAGAAAATGTCTTTCGTATTAGAAATACAAGTTTCCAAACAGGATCTCCAATAACATCCCGGCGAGCTTTTATGAAAAAAATAAATCCATTGCTTCACGAAACTCAATTCTTAACTCACCAATTCTTATCTCAGAGCTGTGACTCAATCAAGTGATGGTTTTAAAAGACTCGCCATCTGTACGCCATACTTCATTTTCTTATTTTATCACCGCAGTGATAGAGTTATTATTCAACACACTAAAGAAACGTTAGATTCCATTTCCAGTAACTGTAAACTAGTTATACTAATGGTAAAAAAGAGATCAAGTTCTATCACTAATATACACAATTACACAAGTGTTTTCTATGAAACAGCACATTTCACATACAGCTCTTGAGTCCTCCTGTTCTTTACCTGTGCAGGTGTGTCTGTTTCATTAATTGGCTGCCCATCGAACCGGAATCTGATTTGCCTCATTGACAACCCCTGGACAAAGAGAAGTGACACAAAGGCAAGTTAAGGCTGGAGTAAGAGTACCCACTGGTTTTCTCTTCAACTTGTCACTGGCATTGCCGTGTGATCACGAAAAGCCACCATTCATACTGCACGATACAGTTTTTGTACTCCCCTCATGCGCTGACTTGAGGGCATTTCACTACAAATCCTTGCAATGTGGTTTGTATTAAAAATTGTGTTGTGTCCACTAACTAAGAGAAGCAACAGTGCCCCCACCGACTGCAAGTTAAAACTAAAGCAATTTTTAGTACACGACTCTCACACCCAAAGGCCAGGATTTTTAATAATAATTCACTAAAAAATGAGATGCAACACTTTGGGTAACCAATGTCAGGCAGTAACAGTCACTCTTCCCCAGGAGCTAAGGTATTCTGAAGTACTTTTTTTCCAGAGATTCAACCACCATCTATTAATCTGCAGCAGCAAAGAGTGGCCAAAGTTCACTTTTTGATCTTGAATTCCTATTAACAAGAAATTAAAAGATCAAAGCTTCTCCATGCACACCCGGAACTTTCAAATGTAAAGGAAAGGAATTTTCTACTTCCGGAAACCACTGACTAGTATTTCAAACTAGCATTTCTACACCACAAGAGTAATTTTGCTGTCTACTACTTCCCATGCCGGCTCGAGCCACCAGATTCAAAGAGGTAACTAAACAGCAACGATCCCTCCTACTACGAACAGCAGCTGCAATTCCCAAGCTGGTTTTTGAAGGTACCCTACCGCACACCACGGTCTGCAAAGGACAATGAATGAAGTTTGAGGATACAACCAGAACCAAGAACCACCAACTCTATCGACTCTCTACCTAAAATTACAAGAAGCTGGGTTTGAAGTAAATCCAATGGGTTGCACGGTGCTGCTCCGGCAGCTCTGAACTAGAAACGCCGCCTTCGTTCAGCCATGCAAGAGCAGATGTAACACATAAAACTTAACACGGTAATTATGTTTGAGAAGGTGATTTGCCAGAAAAAAAATATTTTAAGGAAGAATATGAGTGAACTTTCGGGAAAGACGTTCTAGTTCACAGCACAATGCCTTCCCTAGCACGACTAAGATCCTGCAGTGCTCGCTCCAAGCATCATCCCATTGGAGAAAACCATGTGGCTAAGTGTCATGTCAGCAACACTTTTTTTTTTTTTTGCACAGCAACATTTGGTTTCAGCCATTTTCTCAGACATTGTGTTTCTTAAAATACATATTTCCTATTCCAAAAGTGTTGGGTTGGGTTTTTTTTCCTTTTTCTTTTTTTTTTTTTTTTTCCCCAGGTTCTTGACAACTTTAGGAGCTGAATAAATGCTGGCTGAAAAGATGCTGAAAAACTGTACCTTGGTGAAATTATAATCCACAAAAAAATTAATTCCACGGGCCATTTTCTCCCCACTTCAAACAACTGCAAAAAATCTTCTAAACGCATCATTCAAGGTTTGGTTTACTACATGCAAGACATGATTTTCATTCTTTAAAGCTGTTAAATTCTCTCGGATACACAGCTTCCAACTCTCCAGAAGTCCACAGCTTAAGGATTTTAAGATTGGGGCTGCCTAGTTGGGAATGCAAGCAAAATCTAACCTTCAGAGACACAGAACAAACGCTTTTAAACAAAGTTTGAGAAGTAAGCACCTAAGACACTACATTTAAAGACAAGTGCATCTCCACAGAAATACTCTATGAATACCTTAAAACCCAAGTCAGAAAAAATGTCTCCCACTCTACAGATTTCCTTTTTCCTTCAACTGGGTGGTGTTTTGGTTTTGTCTGTCTGGGATGGGGTTTTTAGTGGTTTGGGTAGAAATTTAGGATAGAAAAATATAAGATTCTGAAACTTCTTATCAAGTAACTGAAGTATGAATGGTACCTGTAAAATCACCTTTCCCAGAACTTGAAAAACAATTAACCAATCCTCAAACTCCCAGAGAGACAGATAAAACTGCACTTCATGTTTGGAAAAAGTGATTTTTTTTTTCCTTTACACATAGAGCGATTTACACAGTGATTTATGTAACAGAACATGAGTTTGTATGACAGAGGTAGGAAAAATGAGCCCACAGGCTCAAACACTCCCTAATTTATCTCCAGAACACACATACAAGAACATCCTTGCATGTTCAGTAAGAGCTGATTTTCCCTGGTTTTATTTGTATCACTATCCTATTATGGCAAAGGGTAAACCAAAGAGGATTTACTACTCTGTATGTGAATTAGGGTTTGTTTTTTCTTGGTGGTGAAATAGTTCTCTCGGTATTTTACACTGATTTTATTGTATTCAGTAGTATCATTGAATATTTGTGTTTAAAAAAGAAGAAAACCTTGCCCAATTCTAAACACTTTTTGGAGAGATAGAACTTTTTAAAGGCGGCAATCATTAAAAAAATCATGGACAGCAGAGACAAGATTTTCCTTCTGAAGCTTTTGATTAGGAAGTGTTAAATGGCACTAGTCTTACACAGGTATTTTTAAAGCTTGCAGTAGCTGCCTGCAACCTGGGAGACTGGCTGCAGTTGCCACTACACTAGCAAAACATTTTTTTGTCCCTCAGAGGATTAATTTGACAAGTAGGCCACAAGAGAAAAAACAAAGCTCATCATTAAACGTGCATGTTCCTTCCCAAGCTAAACAATAGACACCTTTAAACCCTGAAATGCTCACTGATATTCTCTCATCTTAATACAATACTACCAAGCTAATAATCAGAAGTCAACGACCAGACCAAGAAGTTACTCAGAGTTATAAAAATACCTCTGGTTATCACCCAGCTCTCTATCCTAAACTCATACTGCAGGTTCCTAACCCTCCAGACTGTTGTTTTTGAGCTGTAGAGTAACAGTTGCCTCCCAACAGCCTACACCTATAATGCAGATTTCTGAGAGATAACATCTTTATGTTACCTATTTCCTGTCACAACCCTGTCAGTCCACTCTACAACAGATCGTAGGATCAACACTCTTCTCACAACACAATTAGTTTCTGTTAAACCTCTATCATTTTGCATATTTACATAGTTTTAAGTCTTTTACTGTCTTCATCTATCTCTATGGCAACCACCTCTTCCCCCAGACACTGGTTCTCCTGTTAATCATACAAGGACCGTACCTGTCGTTCACAATAGGCTTTCATTAGTTTGCTAAGTGGTGTATGCCTCTTAATCTTAAACTGCACCACAGACCCATCTTGCCCTGCCACCTTCAGATTAATGTGGTCATTGTTTTCAGTCTTCACTCCTTCCTGTTGAAGAAAGAAGGGAAAAAAAAAGAACAAAAAAACAACACCACTTTTTTTAAAGGTATGAAACAAGAAGTCAACATTTTGCCAAAGTGCAACAGGTCATTAAAAAGGAGGAAATAAAAGATATAGCTGTTTACCAACCTGAAACTTTGAATTAGGAAATAAAGGTCAGTACATTTTATTTAAAAATAAAAGGCCAACACACGCCCCTCAAAAAACTCCAACCCCTACTAATATTAATTGCCATTTTTGAGACTGGTTAACATGCAGAGTAGCAGTGAAGACTTACTAAGACAGTTGTTCCACCACTATTTTTTTTTAAAAAAGGTTATTTCTGTCAAGTGCACAATAATATGCAACACTACAGTTCCCAATCAAAGGAATAAAGTTATTTATATTATAACTACGATCTCAGCCACCAGCAAGTCTCTTTCTTGCTGCATCTCAAACTTTTTCTTATCAGTTGTACTACTTCAGAAAACTTCAAGATACTTAAAAAGCCTGTATTTGAAGCGACAGAAACTGAAAAGGACTCAAGCTTTCTCCTTCAAAAAACATTTAAGGAAAAAAACCTCCTAAATAAAGAGTCCCATCCTCTCGCTTCCATTACAGCCACACGCAGAAACTGCAGAGACCCAACTTTCAACTCCGCCGCTCGTGTTTTGATGCGGAGTTATCACGGGGGAGGCAAAGCGGGGATCCAACGCTGCCCAGCTCCAAGGCAGCACCCGCTCCCAAGGTGCCGGGCAGCATTTCCATCTTTGTTTTCTTTAGGAGGAGCGGCGGC